ATATCGTGATATCAATTTTGGCCATATCGTCCAGCCCTAGTTGCAGCATGTAGATATGGAAATTAAGATAAATGAAGACACGTCATAATGATAAGATGTAGCCTTATGAAAAAATGAACTAAAAGTTTAGCATGGAAAAACAATATCCTTGGTTTATGTGTCCATCTAAATATCTGAAACTTAAACAGTTGAATGACAGGTAATGTGAATTCCATATCCACAAAATAAGATATTTTGAAGATGTTTCTGAAAAGCTGTTTACTTGATATTGAAACTGATATTGCATTTTGCACCGTCTAACATCAGATTCTGTGGTGAAGAGAATAACTAAAGAGGATAATGCTTTATATCCCCTCCAGTTTTACAAGAAGCCGTGAGACCCAAATTTAGAGCCATAACTTTATTGTGTTAAAGTCATTTTTATTTGGTGTTAAAGAATGGTACCGTAATCATACATTAATGGACAGAGTTAATCCTATATAATCTTATACCCAGCAAACATGCCCCTTTGGGGCCCGTGTGGCCCACTGCGGGCAAAACAATCTTGCCCACACGGCCAGCCCAATTGTGGGCCCATAACATGCCCACACTATGGGCTGGGTGTGGGCACAGTGGGGCAAGTGTGGGTACACTGTGGGCTGAGTGTGGACACTGTGGGCTGAGTGTGGACACTGTGGGCTGAGTGTGGACACTGTGGGCTGAGTGTGGACACTGTGGGCTGAGTGTGGACACTGTGGGCTGAGTGTGGACACTGTGGGCTGAGTGTGGACACTGTGGGCTGAGTGTGGACACTGTGGGCTGAGTGTGGACACTGTGGGCTGAGTGTGGACACTGTGGGCTGAGTGTGGACACTGTGGGCTGAGTGTGGACACAGTGGGGAGAATATGGGCTGGCTGTGGGCATAATGGGGGAAGTGTCACTGTGGGCTGGGTGTGGACACAATGAGGAAAGAGTAGGAATACTGTGGGCCAAAAGTATGCCCTCTATTTGTCCTAAGTAGCGTCCCAGCTGAAAATGTGTACATAGGGCCCCAGTAGACCTCACAGTATGCCCACACTTTGGAGTGAAATGTGGACATAAACCTGTGTTGGGCCTTTGTGGCCTTAACAAATAACAAAACTTTGTACCTGCAGAATGCTGCAATATTACTATTAATGCACATGCAGAATAATTGCACATGTTGAAAGTAGAAGTCATAAATTAAGAGTCATAAATGTCAAATATTTTGATTTCATTCATAAGTTATGCTACGTCCTTGGTAGAGGACATCGGGACTCAATTTCTTAAAAAAAATAAAAAGACATGAATAAACATGCATAGGCAAAAACAATTGATTTTTTAAAAATCACCAATACTTTTTTAGTTTTAAGGATTTTTTTTTACCAAACTTTGTATAAAGATGATTCTCAACTATGTTATAACAGAATGACTTGATATACCATTTTTCTTCATGCAAACTGTGTGTAAAATGGCCACAAACAGGTGTTCTCATTATAGATAATGTATCTATAAACTAAATCTAATTTGCATATTAATGTGTTTTTGGGGCAACATGTAATGAAAAAAGAAGTGTAATAATGGGAGTAATAATTGACAAGATTTTCATAATAATATATAATATTTCATAGGAATATTGAAATATATTTTCTTTCCCTAATCATTTGTTATGTCTCCCAAAATGCGTAATAAACATGCTTTTAGTCCCGGTGTCCTCATATGAGGACATGTATGAAATCAACCTCCTGTTTCGTAACAGAAATTAATATTTTGATTTGAAACCCCATAACATTTTCCTGAGATGTTGATTTATGACACAGTTTAAAAATTAGTCCGATTTAAATGACAATTACAAATTATTATCATATTTCCATAAGAGTGTCACTAAATTTATATCAGACATTTTTGAAGCCCAAGGAGAGGGAGTGGTCGTGATGAAACATCCAAACATGTAGTATCTCTGAAAAGCCCTGAATGTGCTCTGTACAGGACATCCAGACTATAAAACTGTGACATGTATAGTCTCAGAGAAATTCACTAAATATAATGTCCTCATATGAGGATGCAGGGTCTCAGGAGATTAATGCGCCCTTGCTGAATACAAATAATTTCTTAAATTAAAAAATCTTTCTGACCCCAAACTATTGAACAGTAGGATATATTGAATAGATTTATAAAACAGAACAAAGACCAATTATAACTACATCAGAACATTAAGTAGATATTATAGATAAATCAATCCCCTAAGGGGCACCAGTAGAGCTCTGCCTGATCTCTGATCTTCTGCTCCTTCCACCGTCCCAAGTCTCTTACGTTACGGAGCCACTTTAATAGAAGTTTCATTAGAAGTGAAATTTTAATAGAAGTGGCCTGGCTGCTTTTTGTTCCAGCATCTACCTGAGAAAGAAAACAACAATTACAATTTTTTTTAAAAACACGGTGGATTTTTATCATTATAGGGTGGTAACACACATTTCAGTTCAAATAACTTGTAAAAGTGCATGTAGCATCAGATGACCCTTTTAATATCCATCAGTGATCAGAGTTCAACTAAGTATCAATCACAACCGTACTGATATTCAGATCAGTCTCGTACTCATGTGATTAGATGTTGAAACATGATCCAGAGCTGCAGGAGTAATGATTACTGACTATTGATCGCGAAGATCCTCAGAGAAGAATAAAAAATGACACCAGAAGAACGGGAAGAGTGTGTCAGTGAAGGAGGTTGTGAATGTGTGTAGATGTGTGTTAGTTACAGGATCAGAGAATGACATTATGACACTCGTGCTGTTGATCAAACACATCAGACATTTTCCTCTCATCACTGTCAGTCATTCTCTGATTGAATTATAAATACTTAAAGTTCAGCCAGAAACAGTGAGTGACACATACTGAAAAGAGATTAATTCGATTTATCTTCCTATGATCGCTTGTATGAATCACAAAGCTCTTTACTGAATGCTGCCTACTTATTACATTAGAACGCCAACGATAAGTACACTTTTGATAAAACAATAAATCGCCCCGGAAGTCTTCATGAGGAGCTCCGCAAGGTGTACTCAGGCCCTGTCCCAAATGGAACATTTCATGTGCACTTGCGGTCTTATGGACTTACAATGGTTGCCGCGTGCGTCCGTTAAGTCTACGAGACCATAAGGTGTCCCGTTCGTAATTTTAGCGTTCAGAAGGGTGCTCGCCCGTTATGCGCCCTCGATCCGCACTTCTGCTGAGCCCGCACCGGGGCGAGCTCCGCAGCAGACTTCTACCCGACAGTCGAAGCGTCATTACGTCACGAAAGTGCGGACTCAGAGGAAGACCGCGAGGGTTTAGGGTGCCATTTGGGACAGGGCCTCAATCGGTGCGTTCCAAATGGGATATATCACCCTCCGAAGGGCACTTCGGAGTGAAAACAATTAGGGCTGAACGATTTTGGAAAATAATCTAATTGCGATTTTTTTTTTTTACCAATATTGCGATTGCGATTTAATATGCAATTATTTTTTAAAGCTCTTTATGTTCTGTATTATTCAACAAAGAAATAAATCATTGTATAGTATGACCAACACACTATTAGATAGATTAAACATAAATGTTCTTTTCTGTAGGCCAGGCCTATATGTTACGATGAAATTAGGTGATGCATGAATTGATATGAATGACATTTTTATTTAACAACTACAATCACAGTATATTGACTGATTTGTTGAACTTCCAACCTTGTAAGCATGTAATAATTATGACAACATAAAGCACTGACAAATAAGCCTGGTGTAAACATTAATATGAAAGTCAGTAACAAATCACAAACTAAAGTAGATTGCAGAAATAAAAAAACAAATCTGTTGCTTTACCACACTACATTAGGTCATTCAAAGTCACTGTAATAAACATATGTAAACATGTGGACTGCACTAAACACTCTCTGTTAAAGGTGCAATAGGTGATTGTCTTCAGAAACATTTTTTGTTATGCTGGTGACTTGAAGCAGCGCTGCTTAGACCGATGGGTGTGTGTCATCAAAGTACTGCAAGAGCTATAAGAGTGCGGACGTCTCCTTATGCTTTCTCGTGCCGTACTTTGATGTCATACACGATTGATCTTCAAGTCAAACACACCTCTTTACTCTCGCGTGTCACGTGACCGAGTGTAATCGCAGCCTTTGCGATTGAAAAATCACGTTTTTTCATATCGCGATATTAACGCAAATGCAATTAATCGTTCAGTCCAAAAACAATCATGGTCGCCATATTGAATTGTCGTTCCAAACCGAAGTGCTCAAAACTGGCCACTTCAAAGGGCCCTTCGGAATGAAGGATTTCGAAGGGTACAACTAATGGACACTACAAGCTCCCATGATCCTTTGCATGATGACGGCGCCTCCGTGTCGGCACGTGATGATGACGCAGAAGGGCACTTCAAGAAACATTTGTTTGGTCCCCCACACCCTTCAACCCTTCCAAGCTCTCACTCCGGAGGGTAAACCCTTTGAAGGGATTAGGGCATAGGGATGAGCCCTTCCGAATGCCTCCCGGCTGCCGCCACCATCTTGCCGTGAGTGATGCATGTCAGCCAGATAAAGGTAAAAAGGGCTGGACTAAAGAGGTCATCATCTTAATTCGTTCATTATAAAAATGACTGTAGATCCAATAAATATTGACATTTTTGATATTTGTAGATAATGATCACAGAGTAATTTCACATATAAATGATGACTGATAAATGCAAGACGGATGAACAATTCATTGCAATTTAGTTATTTCATTTTGACATCATCACAAAGTGAGCTGCTGATTTTGGTGCAGTAGATCATCTGGTTCTTCACACATAATGTTGAACTCTGTCAAAATTGCATCATTTCAGAAGTGTGTGTACGCGAGCTCAGATGTTCTACAGTCAGACTCACTGTTCTGGACCATGTCCTGCATCTTCTTCCAGACTCTGAAGGGCAGGCTTCCCAAGTAATGTGGCACATGAATCAAAGCTCCAGAAGGCGTCTGTGGATCCAGCTGTGATGAGATCTGGACTCTGGAGGAACATTCAGGATCAGAACTGCAGTGGATTTGGATCAGAAGCAGAGACAGCAGAGATACCAGCAGATCACTCACCTTTCCATTGAGACTGGAAACTCCTGCAGAACAAACACACCATTGATCATCAACAACTCAATCAATCAATCAATGATCTGAAATCAGACCTTCAGAAAGCAGACGTCACTGGCTCTCATCATCTCCTCCGTGTCTTTGATTGTGTGTGAAAGAGCTGAGATGTGTCTGTTCATCTCCTCCAGCTTCTCCTTCATCATCTGCTTCTTTCTCTCCTCTTCCTCCCTCAGTGCAGTGATTGTAGCTTCTTCTTCATCTCTGAGAAACTGATGAAGCTTCTCAAACTGCTGTTTAATCTGACGCTCTGTGTGCTCAGCTTGAGACTGAAATCAAATCACAATCACTTCAATCGTCTCCATCAACACACATCAACACAATCACATCATTCAGACCTGAGATAAACTCAGATAAAGACATATAACGCATCCAGAAGCAGATTGATGCTCGTCATTTACACAAATAATCAACTGGAGTCCATTATATTAAATATATCAGATCATAACTGTATATAGTGATCTACAGCTGTAATGAAGATGACTCTGGATTCGGTTTCCTCACCTTGATGTGTTGAACTGTTTCCTCAAACTCTCCGTTCATTGTGTTTTAGTTTCTCTTGTAATGATTTCAGTGCTGTATTGAGCTCCTCCTAGAATTAAACAACAATACATTAAACACCAGATTGCAGTGAAAAAAGAAGACAATACAGTGATATATTTCTAATGAGTTAAACCTGTATCCTGTATTCTGAGTAACATTGAGAATATCACTATATATTGTTGCAACACCGCCGCCACGACCAGTCTGACGGGGCTCATGCTTATAACAGTAGCTTGGTGGAGTAGACTCATTTAGACCAATATAATCATTTGGTTTAAGCCAGGTTTCAGTCAAGCAGAGCACATCAAATTATTGTACAATGTACAATAATGTACAAATCACATTATCCGTGATCATTTCATTTACAATAACTGCTTTGGGTGAGAGTATTTATTTATTCATTCATTCTTTTGTTTTGTGGGTTTGGTGTAAAAACAATTTTTTTTCCCGTGTGTCCTCCAAACTGACACACAAATCAGTTTAAGAAGTTCATTCATTCATCAACTCCACACGAGGTGCAAATTCCCGGCAAACTGCGTCTCACTGCAGATTCCCAGTGGTTTTAGAGGACAATGCAATAGGGCCTGGCTGCAGATATGCACTTGCTCTCTCGGACACCTATGCTTCCGCAAGTGACGTCACTTTTATTTTGTATTTTATTTTTAACTGAATCTCTCAACATTTTAAACAAGCAGCCAGGTGGTGAAGACAAGAAAAAAGAAACAAAATTGCAATGTCACTTGCAATCGCCACCTGCACTCTCCACTACCTGCGACGTCACTTGCAATCGACACAAATGAACCTGTCGCACAGATCGATGCATTTTCTGTAGCTCATCGTACTTGCCATGCACTTGCCCTCTCGGACACCTGTGCTTCCGCAAGTGACTTCACTTTTATTTTGTATTTTATTTTTAACTGAATCTCTCAACATTTTGAACAAGCAGCCAGGTGGTGAAGACAAGAAAAAAGAAACAAAACTGCAATGTCACTTGCAATCGCCACCTGCACTCTCCACTACCTGCGACGTCACTTGCAAACGACACAAATGAACCTGTCGCACAGATCGATGCATTTTCTGTAGCTCATCGTGTGACAGGAGTGAAAACTGCTCTTAAAAAGTAGCTAAGAACATGACACAATGCAACAGATAATCCACTTCCTGAAGAAGATGAAATCTGATGAATTTGTGTGTAACATGCTGTTATGAACATATACATGATTTATTCTCGCGGCGGTGCTAGGTGCTACTGCCCAATAAAATGTCGTGATTGTATAAGGGCTTCAGATATTCATCACACCGAAGGTGTTCCCATAGCAAACTCTATCACAGCATAAGTGAACCTATGAAAGAGAACCACCACAGCATCTCGTCTCCATTGGCAACACACATGATTTGTGTCGATTGCAAGTGACGAAGCAGATAGAGGAGAGTACAGGTAGCGATTGCAACTGACATTGTGTGTTTCTTTTTTTCTTGTCTTCACCACCTGGATACTGTTGTAAAATGTTGAGAGATTCAAAAAATAAATAAAATAAAATATTGGAATCATCACTATTTCCTTTCTGTGCTGCGATTTCTTCCTCCCTGCAAAATAATTAAACACAAAAGCATTTACTGAGCTCTCATGATCGTTATAGATCAATGTGAATCATCAGATTGTGAAGTCACCTTTATTTCTATAGCACTTTATACAATACAGATTGTGTCAAAGCAGCTTTACAGTGTTAAACAGGAAAAAGGTCAGTTCATTGTTGATTCAGTGATGTGTATTAGAGATGGGACATTTGACACTGAGGCTCCGAAGCCTGTTTTACTTTATTGAAGCAAATTGGTTCGAAAGAGTGTGTCAGGGCTTGTATCAAATCTCCGTGATCACGTGACCGATGACGTTTGAGGCTTCATACGTCACAATGAAACACCTAAAGGGAGGTGACTGATTCGAATCTTTTGGCGCGGCGTCATTCATTATAAGGAGACGTGAAATGCTTGGTGTTCCCTCCCTGCTTCATCGTAACACTTTCGTGTGTGGACAATGATTCTCAGAATGAAGACACAGCCGATATTGTTGAGTATTGCTTTTGTGTTGAAACTGGAATCAACAAGATGTGTGAATCATTTAAAAGTGGCTGCTATAATTGCAGCTGACCAATAGATGTAGGGGCTGTCTTTGAGGCTTTGAATCTTTTTTGGTTCAATCAGGGAAAAAGCCTCAAAAGCTTCACAAGGCTTCATCTGCCCATCTCTAATGTCTATATTGTCCAGCTTAGGTTAGTTCAAATAGAATATGTGCAATTAAGTTGACAATATTGCCAGAAATTAAGTGTCCCCAACTAAGCAAGCCAAAGGTGACAGTGGAAAGACTGTGTCGGGGCTTGTATCAAATCTCCGTGATTACGTGACCGATGACGTTTGAGGTTTCATACGTCACAATGAAACACCTGAAGCGAGATGACTGATTCGAATCTTTGGCGTGGATTCATTCATTATAAGGAGACGCAAAATGCCTGGTGTTCCCTCCCTGCTTCATAGTAACACTTTCGTGTGTAGACAATGATTCTCAGAATGAAGACACAGCCGATATTGTTGAGTATTGCTTTTGTGTTGAAACTGGAATCAACAAGATGTGTGAATCATTTGAAAGTGGCTGCTATAATTGCAGCTGACCACTAGATGTCACTGGTAGGGTCTGTCTTTGAAGCTTTGAATCTTTTTTTGTACAATCAGGGAAAAAGCCTCAAAAGCTTCACAAGGCTTCATCTGCCCATCTCTAATGTCTATATTGTCCAGCTTAAGTTAGTTCAAATAGAATAACGTTATCACGGAGCGTGAAGATTGGCTGAAAACTAATCTAAAGTTGTTTTGATCTTTTATG